CTGGCGAAGGAAAAAGTGAACGTGGTGGCCTGAAGAACAGTTACTGAGTGGTGGCAAAAGACTGGCTTTAAAGTATGGCACTTGCTTATCTCGTTATTAATGATGTCAAATTATTTTGCTTATAAATCGAGCAAATCCACTTCAGGAATTTGAATGACAGTACAGAGTAATTTTTTAGAGTAGAACTAGAACTGTGAAAAGTTTTATTTATTGATAATCTCTATCTCAGGACTTGTAGAAAGCTTTAATTTTTTTCAGCATATTTCCATTAAATTAACTAAGTACATAAAAAACTTCTACCTCTGACCTTTCCCTATTTTAGTCCTAGATAAAGGACTGGATTACAGTCAAGAGGCATGTAATTTTTATACTACCAAATAAGTTCATAAAAGTTTTGTAATAGCAGATAAGCAAATTTTTGCATGACATAAAACCAGAATGTTCTTAACAGTTAAAGGGTTTTTTAAGTAAGGTGATGACTTTTATTTGTTAGTCGTATTGATAGTAATTATATTTAATCAAAAACCTTGAAGTATTCCTAATTGATATTTTAAAAAATTCACTTAGTTTACTTACAATATTTAAAGACTGAATATTGCTATTTGCCTTTGAAACCTGGGAATACTACCAGATGTCTGTTAATCCATGGTGTACTGTAGCTACCCCTTTAAGTGCTATCTTTCTGAGTGAGAAAAGCAAACAACTCCTGAAATGCACTGAAAAAGTGATGTTCTTCAAAGACAGGATTTGTGCAGGAGCATATTCTAAGAGGAATTCTTTCCACTATCTCATGTAGGGACATATTCTACATTTCTACTATCCCCACCCATATTTTACAAAAATGTTCTTCTTTCTTTCTTTTATTTTTTTTTTCCTTTTTACTTTTCTGGTTTTTTTCATCCCCCTTTTCCCCCAGTAATTTCCAGGACTAAATTAAGTAGAAGAAACAATTCTTGGTTCTCCTAAAATGAAGCCAGGCCATCCAGATAAACTGACTGTTTCTTTGTCTTACAGAGACACCATGTTTGCCAAGTCTGTAGTGAAATGTAATGATAAAATGTATTTTCCTTCTCCCTCAGGGTCTCATTAATATCTGCAATTAGTTAAAATAGAAGACTCTAACATAGCCATATTTAGAGAGATTTCTAATTTCTCAGTAGTCTGAGAATTCTCCACCCTGTTTCTCCAAACCTTAGTTATGCCAAATTAGCATCTCATAAAAAAAGACTGTCTACTTTATCTTTAGTAGTATTGACCATCTTGTTGTGTTTAAGCATGTTTTCCCTTGATGTGTTATTTCAAAACCTTTTGATTGCCAAAGCCCTATGGAATGCAAGTAACCAAGACAATAATGACTTTCCTGTGTTGTTTTTGGATGTCATCATATGTTTGAGTAATTTAGGGATAGTGATGCCACTGAAAGTAGAACAATAAATGTGGTACAATAAATTAACTGAGTCTCCTGTGGGAAACATTGTGTCAAAAAGAAAAAAAAAGGCAAAAATGCTTAATCCTCTTTCAAAACCAGCTAATACAGGTTTGCACAACCTTCTGCAGGTTCTTGAAAGTCTGCTGGCTGGAGGTCCCCTTTGCATGGTAGGAACAGGAGAGATTTGTGGAAGGATCTTGCTAGTTCCCATCTACACGGGAGGTGTAACAAGTGGTGGCACTGACAGAGCCCTGAGCAATCTGGCACTGTCTGGCTCCTATAATGGTACCTCAAATTTAGGCATAATCTTTCCTAATGAAATGCACACACTAATGCTTGTCACCCCTAAAATAAGAATAGTTAAGCCAAAGGCAGAAAACTGCATAAAATAATCCAGAGAAGAAAAATGACAAATCTTTAGGAAAAAAGCACAAACTTCTAATTTTCTGGAAAGTGCTTTACTCCACTAAGCTCCAATTCACCTCCTCACTGCAGCAGACCAGAGGTGACAGTTACTGCAAAACAAATTGCAGCAACTTTCTGTAGTCTTATGCTTAGTGTTTCACTGCCAGAGGGGTGTCCTCTGGGCTGCACGCTTCTAATACGTACCTTGTGCCAACTCTAGTGCTAGTGAGAGCTCTCGGCACTGAGCCTGGTCGTGAGCCAAGTGAGAATCCATCCCCAATCCCCCAAAGAGTCACATTTGTGTGCTGAGTCAGTGCACAGAGTAGCTGGGGTAGTACCAAATCTGCCATCTGTGAGATGATGGGGCTAGATGACAGATGAGGGGGCAAAGTGCATTGAGAAAAAAGAGAGTGGAGCAGCTGCTAGGTGAGCTGGGCTGCCCAAAGTGTGATGGCCTTAGTGCTCAGGGCACCCAAATGGCACCTGGTGGTACTGGTCACAATGTCTTGTGCTTCTGAAGGGACAGAAATCACTCTCCTCTGTGTCTGGCTGTGGTTTTGGCCCATAGCCATTAGGCTGTGAGGCACTCTTAAGTTTTACCTTCATGTGTCTGTTTTACCTTCATGTGTGGAGACTCTGGGTTCCTTCCAAACTAAAGATTGCTTGGGCCAGAGGAGGCTGGGTGTTTGGGAAGGCTTTGCTGCTTGGTCAGGGTACTTTCATAGCTCTTTCTTGCAGCAGGGCCTGTGATACACTCCTTTCCACCCAGCTAAGTGCTGGAAGCATCAAGCTCTATGGTCTTCTTTTACTGTCACCTTGTGGGCCCTTATTTACCTGGTGCAAAGTGGAACAGATTCAGCTGGAGGGGTGCAAGAGACCCTCTTCAAGCTGCATTTGAGCAGTTAGAGCAGTACTGATTTGTGCATTGAAATCTTATTGAAAAGATAAAGCTTTTGCCAAGGACATTCAATTCTGACTCTTGATTAAGAGACAAGACTCTTTTTTCTTCTGCTTGAGTTTGGTGTGGAAAATCTATTTCATTACATGTCTTCAAAAATATCTAGTTGAATAGGTCCTCCACGTGAGGCAAATGGGATGGAAAACGAGACTAGTGATCTTTGTCAAGTCTGAGGCTGTGACAAAGTCCAGTCTCAGCAGAGTTAGTCCTCAGGCTCCAGATTTCTGCAGGTGGCAAGAAGCTACTGAGCCTGGCATGCAAGGCTGAGCATCTCCATTCTATCTGCATGGTCATGCAAGTATGAATTCCTTCCGCAAAGAAACTGATTTTTCAGTATCCTATATTTTGGAAAATTCAGTAATCACCAGGTTTAAAATACTTTTAATGGGTCTAAATCAATTTGCATGTTGAAAATAAAGCATACTTGTGTTTTTGCATGCTTGTAACTTGCTACTTCACTGAACTGCAGTAAGAGGTTTCCTGTGGTTCCTGGAAGCTTCTTGTACTGTTGTTGCTGTGCAGAAGGGCTATGCAAATTCCCTAGAGCCAAAGCAAAGCAGCTATTCTTCTCAGTGAGTGCCAGGATTGTGCCTGCTGCATTGTGTGCAGTCCAGAACAGCAAACATCTATCACATTGAAGTCCCAGGGCTCAGCTATGCCTTAAAGACATGGTTTAGCTTTTAACAGAGCTGATCAGCACACAGTGTTCTGACTGTCATTCCTAAAGAACAAAATGACAGATGGGGTTATGATACATTCGTCTGGAGGTAGAGAATGAGAAGAGCAAGTTGGTTACTAATTACCTTCCCACCACTGAAAGGAGAAATGTCCCCATGCTTGACACAACTCGCATGGACGTGTCAAAATTAATGAACATTTTCACCCTCAGCTGTCCCAGAGTGAGCTTCACACCATTGTGTCCCATGCGGCCCTGAGATCTTAAGGCAGCCATTTGCATTCATCAAGGCAGCACAGACACAACGTGAGAGTTCAAGAGTTTTGAAATGCATCTCTGTCATCAAGATGCTTTGCAGGAGTGCTGCTGACTAACAGCCATGGGTCATATCAGTGCACTGTTACTGTTGGTCCTTTTCATTACACATTTTTTCTTTCAGATCTGTTATTCAGATTACTGTTTTTAAATTGGTATGACTGCTCTTATGTAAAAAATTATTCCTGATAGTCTCAGAAGTAATACATAAACTGCAATTCCATCTAATTATTGTTGATTTTATTTGTTATTTAAATTTTGGGATGAGTTTAGACACATGAGAAATCCCATCCAGCTGTGCAAAAAGACACAGTAATCTTAGGATATAAGGTACTCCTGGGGGTGAGCTAAGGTTGTCAGGATTGTGTCCTTAATGGCTGTATGTGCCAGACAAATTATCTTGATTTTAAATCATGTTTAAAATTGGTTACAGTGAAGTGCTGATAAAATCCTTTGTATGAATAGTCTTTGAGAGTTGCTACCCATGTATTTCCTTTGATTACTTTAAAATTACTGCTTTAATACTTATGTTCCTTGACAGGTCTATTATTCTAACAATCCAATAAGTAGATACATTAAATATTGCAAACTAAATTATCACTTAATGTTATACCTAAAAAGGATTGGATTTGGAAATATTTTCAGATTTGATCATTGAGATTTATCAACTCAGACTCCAGAATTCTTCACTAGTTCTTGTCATACTGAAAGATGATTATAGAGGTGGGGTGGTGGGAAATGCTAAAACCAGTGCATTGCTTGACTAGGCATGAAAATAGGAGGGCTCATTTGCAGGACTGCATTTGAAAAATAAAATTAGAACAATGAAGCATAGCTATTTGTCAATGGAAACAGAGGCTGGCATTTTAGGCATTATAGCTGCTGCTAATATTTAGGTAAGTGCTCTAGGCCATTTTCCTCTAATTGAAGGCTGATGTAAAACCAATTTAAGTGATGCAGTCAGTATATTGGGTATTCTATTAGTTTAATTTTTGACACTGCCATGACAGAAGTAAGGTGGCTGACCCTTAATGACAACAATTTGTTTTCTCTTTGTACAATTATAGTGGGTCTTTATTGTCAATCTAATCAGTAGCAGGGGGTTAGACCCTAATGTGAGACTTATTCAGAGTGTTTAATTGGAAGGAATTCATTTCAGAGAGTTGATGAGCATTCAAGTGCTGCTCACAGGCTATCAGAGTTTAAAAATTCTGTTGTTTTAATCTGAGCCTTTTTAATTTTGAAAACAACCCCCTTCAAAACAGATTTCACCATCTACTTTCGTTACTTTTGGCCCTTTTCATTTATCTTTTGGCTAATTTGTTTTTCCTCTTTCTCCTCCCAATACCCAAAGAAGCACAAACTATCATTGCTGTGACAGAGGGTGGGGTGCACCTTCTCCACAGCACTCAGATATTTTCCTCATGGCTCTCCGTGTGAAGTCGACCTTCCCTCTTTCTTTCTTGAGAGCTGTGTACTCGTAGGCCTTCAGCTTGCTGTAATAGTCTGAGAACTTATTGTAGAGGATGGAGATGGGCATGCCATTCAGGATTATTCCAAAAGCAATGCAGAGGAAAGCAAACAGGCGTCCAAGGTGCGTTTCTGGACACATATCTCCATATCCCACTGTAGAGATGCTGACCTACAGGCAAACCAACACACAGCTTATTAGCTGAGCAAAGTACATAGACAGATATGTTCACTGACCAGGGACAAGGTTAACTCTTTTTTAATTTGCATTGTAAGTCTAAAATATTCTGTGCTGCTTTTTTTTTGTGTGTGTGTGTGTGTGTGTGTGTGCCTGTGTGTGTGTATGTGTCTACCAGTTTTCTTATGCAAAATATTCCTAATTTAAAAAACAACAAACCCTCTCATGGAGTAAAGAAAGACAATGGTTTGACACTATTCAGGAGGATTTTTAGATTTTTACCCTGCAGAGGGAATTCCCAGACAAATTCCATTCCAGAAGGTGAGTTTGTTTGGCTGTAGGGAGAGGATAGATGTGGCTCCCCAGCCATGCAAATCCACTGATAGCTGCAACCGTGCTCCCTCATCATGTCACTTGGAACAGATGTCCTGTTTCTAAATCCACTGTGCTGATAAAACCCGGTATTTGGGACTTATTCTCTGGTTTGTATTTTGAGTTTTACCTTTGTTTTTCATATGTATTTTAGGAACTAGTGAAAAACACATAAAACCCTTCAATTAATTATGAAATGAATTTTCCTATTTGCCTTATAGGAAGAAATTATCCAGGACTTCAGAGTTACTAGATAAAACCCCCTTTAATGATTACATACCTATAAGGAACTGTAGCCTGGAAGGTTTTGCTTGCAGTGTATGGTTGCAATATGTATAGTTATAGTGTTAAATAAGTACACAGGTGTGTAATTTTTGCTGAATTTCCTTTTGAAGAAGGATTTAGGGGTTGTTAAAAATGTTTCAGCTTTGGTTGTTGAATTTGTTTTGGGGTATTTTTTTGAGAGTGATGGTGTTTAGTGTATTTATTTTATATGATTCTGAACACTTTGCCAGCTCACTGTCTACATAACTTTACATTTTTCTTCTCAGCCAATATAATTTTCTCTTTCTAGCCTATAGATATATGAGGGGACTGTTTTATGGGTCCAGTGCTACACCAAGTACTGAAATATTTCCATTGTAAAATTCAGATTAAAATTAATGGATGTTTGATTATGGAGATGCTGCTACATTTGAAAAATCTACTCTCAAACAGTCAACATAAGATAACTCCTAATTTATTTACTGCACACATTTTGATGTTTTATATTTTTTACACTGAGTAAATATAACTTACTTTTTTCCTGGCAGGTAAAACTTGCATGCTGCTGTCACCTGTCACTTTCTAGTCTGTGCAAGGGATCTTTTTCAGCCAGTGAATTTTATTTAATTTTTTTTCACAGTGTCTCAACACACTGTATGTATCTGCTAAACAGTAACCTAAAATTCTGGCAAAAATAAGCCACAGACAGTAGGACTGTAACGCCCTTGTGGCTTTAACACTAAAATAAGTCTTCAGAAGGTCACTGTGTAGAGTATTTCATCTTCTAAAATGGTAACTAGAATGATATTTTAAATGAAGAAAACATTAGAGTTCATGAGACAGCACTGGGTAAGCACATTTTTAGGATGCACCTGGTGCTTCCTGTGGAATAAAAGGGATTAGTGATTTGGTTTAATGGAAATTAAGTCACTGGATTTGAATGATAATACAGGATAAATATCTCCAAAAATAAACACTGAGATGAAGGCAAGATGTTTATCTCTACCAGCCAGGACAAAAACGTTATCCTGTGATAAGGTTCTGTACCATTGGCATAGTCTTATACATTGCCTGTAACAGTTTAGGAGGGATGTTTCTTCTCCTGCATGTGTGAGTTGGTGAATGCTGTTGGATTTTTATAAAATTCGAATGATCTAGATATATTAATTTACAGTCCTAAAGAACAATTAGGCTATAAAAAGTGTTTTATGCTTTGGAATTGCAATGTGCATGATACAGCTCCTGTTTTGAAGGCACTTGCTTAGCTAAATAGGCCTTTTTCACCTAGCCATATAAGTTTATCAGGAATATCTAAATTATTACGGTATCACCACTTTGCAAAAATGAGCCCTAAAGATTTTGCATATAACCTGCATGTTCAGAAGACAGAGTATTTTAGCAATGTATGAAGCACAAGTGTTTTCCTAGCCTTTGTATATCACTTACAGATGATCTATGAAGGTCAGATTACAAGACCTTCTTTCCTTTATTCACTGATGTTTCCATCCTTACATGGCCCATGGAAGGATGGAAAAATCAGTGAATAAAGGATATTCAGCACAGTTACACATACACATGTGCACATATAAATGTGTGCATCTATGCTTGTCTGTAAGGCTTTTTTTCTGCCATGTGCTGAATCACTGCAAATGTGTGGTAAACCACCACATCTCATCGTCCATGGCTGAACCAGAAGCGCAGACCTTGGGCTCCAGGATGGCTGAACAGGGGAAGTGACCTTGAATGGGTTGGGATTACTGTCTGGTGGGCCTCATATGCATCTTGGGGCATCCAGTATCAGTGCTGATCAACCAGCATGAGATGTTCTAACTCCTATCCAGTCTATTTGCATGAGCTTCTTTCTCCAGGGAAGTGACTGGGACAGAGCCAGACCCATAGCCATGCCCAGGAGTCAGAAGTGCTCCTGGGGCCCCATACAAAAATAGACTGTGCAGGCTGGCATCAGCTGCTGCAAAACAAAATATATGTGACAATGGTCTAGGACAAGCCTTAAGGTTATGGATGGCCAAGATGTGGGTCCTGTGCCTTCCCTCAGCATTGACAATGTCTAGCTACCCACTAGTTTCAGCTAGGGTGCCATAAATACAGACATCTTCTGCAGCACAGCAGAACACAATCTCTTGTGTAAAACAACTGTTGGTCCTAGTGGATTTTTAACAGCCAGAGTTCTGGGACAGCTTTCACTTTTAAAGTGTGAGTGATCTGACTGTAGTTAATAAACTGTGTCTCATCATCTTGCAGTTTTATGGGTTGCAGAAGACCTACACATAGAATAAGAACAAAAATCCTGTAACTAGATAGCCAAATGCATGCATTTTTTTCCCTATTGTTTTGGCAACACTGACAATGGCACTAAATTGGGAAGCGCTTTTTTTTTTTCCTGTCTTTGACAATTTCTTCTTTAAAAGTGAAAATACTGTCTGCATTTGGAGATATGGGAATTTTAAGACTGCCTGCCTGATTAAGTCTTGATTTAAGCTTACAGAGAGGTGAATGAGTGCGTGTGTGTGTGTGTATTTGCGCACGCAGGCATGCATATGTCCTGTAAGCTCAGAATTCAGAGCAGATGTTCACTGATCTGAGCCTGTTGTTTTCAAGACTGTCAGCAACTCCAGCTGGGAGGAGAGGGGAAGAGGAGGGGAAGGAAGGGAGGGTCTCTGTCTACCCAGCAAGGTAAGATGTGTTTACTTACGGCAGCCCACCACCAAGCATGGGGAATGCTGGTGAAGTTGGTACTGGAGACATCGTGCTCCACTGTGTAGACCATGGCAGAGAAGGCAAAGATGCCCATAGCAATGAAGAGCAAAAGGCAGCCCACCTGCTGGTAGCACTGGCGCAAGGTAAAGCCAAAGGCACGCAGCCCTGTGGAGTGGCGGGCCAGCTTGAGGATGCGGAAGATGCGCATGAGGCGCATGATGCGAAGCACTTGTCCTACCTTGCTCACCCGTCCCACCTTCTCGATATCATGCTCGTGTTGGGAGCCCCGACCCCGGGGCTGGTCATCGTCAGTAAAGCATTCAAGCAGCAGCTGCAGATAGAGGGGCAGGATGGCAATGAGGTCTACTGCATTGAGGGCACTGCTGGCAAAGCGGCGCAGGTCTGGGGTAGAGACCAAGCGCAGCAGGTACTCCAATGTGAAGAATGCAATGCACAAGGTCTCCACATGCTCCAAGACAGGCCGGCTATCCCCACTCTTCCAGTCTACCTGCTGCATCTCCTCTACTGTGTTGAGTGCCAGGGCCACCACAGAGATGAGCACGAAGAAGCTGGAGGCCACTGCCATCACTTTGGCGGTGACAGAGGAGAAGGGCTTCTCCATGAGGTTCCAGAGGCGCCAGCGCTGCGGCCCATAGTAGCGCATGTGGTGGAAGAGCTGCTCATTCTCCTCAGCCTCTGCCTGGGAGCGCAGCTCCCGCTGCACCTTCAGCTGCTCGCTCAGCTCGTCCCGGCGCTCCTCGAAGCAGATGCGGCAGCAGCGGGGAGTGTATTTGAGACGCACGCCCCAGTAGCTCAGCTCCTCCAGGAAGCTGCGGGGGCACAGCTCGTCCCTCACCCGCAGCACCCCCGAGGCATAGAAATTGTACACCAGCTGGAAGACAGCTGGGTCCCGGTCAAAGAAGTACTCATCAACCTGGGCAGCGTAGTCATCGCACAGGCCCAGCTGGCAGCGGCGGTCAGTGGAGGTAGCCAGGCGGCCCAGGCGGGTCTTGGGGTAGATGGCCACTGCCTGGTAGGTGAGGCGGTAACTTTGGCCGCCAACATTGATGTTCAGCACGGATGGAGTAGATGATGTGGCCGGGGATCTCGAGGAAAGAGCAGGGGAACAAGGAATAAACGATGAGGCCTTGCTTTCGCCCTTAAATGCATCGTCATGTTGCCAATTTTCTTCTTCTTTCTCTTCATCTTCCTCATCTTCATCATCCACATAATAGTTGTAATTCCCCTCAGGTCCTAGTTGCAGTAGGGGCTGGGTGTTCAAGGCAGTGGTGGCAGAGGTACCACTCTGCTTGTCTACATGAACGACTTCCTTTTCCTTCCCCTTGCTGGGCTGCGGAAGGATGTTTGGTGCTTCCATCTCTCTGCCTTTATGTTTTAGGAAAAGAAACTCTTGCTGACTGTTAAACTGCAACATAATATTATTCCTTACTCTTTTCCCCTCTTTGCATTCACCTGATCAAGCGGTTAACACCAGTCCTTTTCAACTCTGCAAAAGCTGGCAACCTGGTTTTCTCCCCTCTTTATCTCAGAAGTATTATGCACAGCAGCGGCTATGCATATTTCTCCCTGCCAGCCACCACTCCAGTTGTTGTGAAAGCTCTGTGTGGGATATAGACACATGAAGACTGCTGTTGACCGTTTTAATCTTGCTGACAGCAAAGATCTGAGTGCTTAGAGGAGGGGATTTAAGGGCTATTATCCTGTTCGAGCCTCGTTTCCCTTAGGCTGTGACGTGAATGATTATGGATCCATAAATCTATGAAAAATCAGTAGGGGGGAAATCCCGTAAAGTTTTATTGCTAATAAAACCCACACATTTTTCCTATTTCAAATATATATGGATTAAAAGTAATCTGAAATAAAAATGTATGAGGGGCAGAGAGAAAGAGAGCAGTACAGATTTCTTTCATCCTCATGGGCATAGCATGGCTTGGCTTTCTTTAATGAAAATAATGAATAATTGATATGCAGATAAAGGGCAGGAAGTCACTGGTGTATCTCTTAAAATGTTTTCAAAAAGTGAGCAAATAAAAGTAATTTCATTTTATTCACAGTTAGAATACCTCCATTTGGTTAGGAGCCAAGGAATATTTCAGTCTGTGCCTGAAGGTTTGAATGTACTCTGGGAGTGCAGGTCTAATGTTCTGCTGGGTTCAGTGGAAGCAAAGGGCAGAGGTGTGAAGGAGTTTCCAGCTTCAAACTCTTCATAAGCTGCTGAGAAACAGCATAAAGCCACTCTGGTTTCTCTTGCAGATGGTGTTAGTGTCGTATAAAGCTGCAGTGAGTAACTAGCAGGACAGGAGAGATGCTTTCCCTGTGTTTGGATGGAGGTTTCATCTTCAGCTCTGTTGGAGCTGGCATCAGCAATTCCTGTAACAATGAGCATCCCAAAAACCAGGTTACTTCCCCTTGTCACTGGGAGCACTTCAGCTAAGCTGGAGCTCCTGAAAAGCAGGGGATGCACACAACAAAGTACTGGTTCCTTGTGTGTTCTCTTAGCACCTCAGTTATAACTCCTAAGCAGTAGCTCATTATTCCACCTGTATCCAGGCTGGTGCAGGAAGGGACAAGGCACTGGAAAACTACTAATTTTGGCAACACCCTTGCACCCTAGCAGGTTGGGAAGGCCTCCCATGTGCAATTCTGTATTCTGCCTTCCCCTTGCAGCTCCCTTTCACATAGGCTGCGGGACAGTGTATCCCAGAGCACTGCAGCAGTGCTTTCCCTTTGTAGTCCTCAAGCTCCCATTCTTCTGCACTGGTCTCAGGTTCTTGCTCCTGCAGACCCCAATACTGTTATTTTGGTAGTGTCCTATGTGAAACAACTGCTGCTGCTATGAGAATGTCTCCTTCTTTTTTCCTGTTTCCTTACCTCCAGTTATAGCTTTTCTATTTATATTTACTAGTTCTTGACAAAATGGAAGATGCCATAGCTGAGCATTTTGCAATACTTTTGTTCTCAGTCTGTGTTCTACTGAGTGGATCACATGAAACTCTTCAAGGTTTCTTTGAGTCACACTGTTTAAAGCCTGAATTATTTGTAATTCATATTTAACTCTGCATGAGAGTGAATTTGTCTCCCCTGCCTGTTCTCTTTCTTGATGCAAGAGAGGCAAGCCCCCTATTAATAGGGATTGTCAGTACCTCTTTAGAGATACCAGCCTGCTTTGCAGTTTGCTTTGAGCATTAAACCATGCCATGGTGAGTCCTTTGTATAGCAACTTTAATGCAAATATTGCCAAGTTTCAAGGCTGTTTCTTTCTCCTAAGCAAAGTGATTCAGACATAAGAAAAAGGCAATTCATGATGCCATCATTTTAGTGCCAAAAATGCTGGAATTTTTCTTAATCAAGATCCACGGTAGACTATAACCATATTCGTCATGCCAGTCTCTGCTGTAACATTTAATTTTGCTTTTTGTCAGCCTCCCTGGCCTCATTTCTAAGTATCCAGTAACATTTATTGCTCACTATTCAAGAGATAATTTCTTATGTCATACTGCAGCAGCAGGAGCTTCTACAGGGTGAACTTCATGACTGTCAGGTACCAGCTCCTCATGCACATGGACTCAGATCTTGGACATCATTACTAGGAAAAGCAAGGAAGATCACTAGCTTCGGTCTGCTCAGACTAATCTCTTTGACCTAAATATTCTTGGGAACAGAGTTCTGGGGCACCTGCTGCACTCTGCTCAAACATGTCTCTAGCTGGCAAAATAGCTAAAATAAAATTATTTCATATATGTTCTTTATTTTCAGGTGGGAGTTGGTTCTGAGGTGCTAGATTCTCAGTCTAGACACATAAGAAAATGAGGTGACTAGAAAGAACCCACTTTTCCCCCTTATCTACCTTATTTAGTGTGCTGCTTTTCTTCATAAATGCCATTAGTAGCAATTGCTCATCTTCTTGTACGGGGAAGATGAGAGTATGGGCTGTTTAAAGAAGTAGTTAGTAAAGTCTCTTGGCACTCTTTTTTTTTTTAAAGTTATCTGAGTGATATGCTTGTCTCTTTTCAAGAACTCTCTTTTAACAGTGGAGGAGCAGTAAAACACAACATGTTGGAAGCCAAACCAATGGGGCAGAAGGTTGGCTAGGCTGAGCAGTGAACTTAGATGGAGAAGGAAAGCATATGAACCTTGGAAACAAGGTGACATGGGGGGGATGACAGAGATGCTGCTCGTCTCTGTGGAGAGAAAATTTGTGTGACCAAAACTCGGATAGAATTCAAGCTGTGCAGGACAAGCTGCGAAGGAAAGCAAAAGGGGCTTTTTTGATTTTTATATGTTAGCAGCAAAAAAAGGATCAGAGATAACATTGGTCCATTGCTTGATGAGGTCCAAAAAAAATTGCAGACACAGTAGAGAATGATCCACCTTCGCCATCTGTCTTCAAGACCAATGATGGGCTGGGGTCCTCAGAGCCCATTGTTGGAAGACTGTCAATTGGGGAATGATAAATTCCCAGGAAATCCTGAAATTGTTTGAGACTTGCTGTTTCAGTTGGATGCATACAGGTGTATGGGGCTGGAGAGGATTCTTTCCATGGAAGAACTGGCTGATGCACTTGGCAGGACCTCTCTCCATTATATTGAATTTGTCTTGTGAGTCTGGAGATGTCCCAGTCAGCTGGAATCTGGAAATTTGTCCCCATTTTCAAAAAGCATAAAAAGAATACTCTGGAAGTTATAGGCCTGGCATTTTCACTGCAGCGCATGGTAAAATCATAGGGAAGATTTTTCTGGGAGTTACTGAAAAATATTGTTTGAGACAAAATGCAGTGATTACAGTGAGCATGGGTTCACAAGGGAAAAGTCCTGTTTGACCAATTTAATTTTCTTTTATGTCAAAGTAACCCTAGGTGACCAAGGGAAGCCAGTAGATGTGGACTGGTTTTATATTACAGAGATTTTTGTTCTGTCTGCCACAGTACCCTGCTGGATAAACTACCTGGCACACAGCTAGTTGAGTCCATTATACATTGTGTGAGTAACTGGCTGGTGGGTCAGGCTCAAAGGGTACTGGTAATTGTTACATCAGGCTGGCAGCCAGGGACCAGAGGTTCCTCAGGGCTCCATTTTAGCACCAGTGCTCTATAATGTTTTTTCTAAAAAGATCTGCTTGCAGGGATCAAATGCACATTAAATAGGTGTGGTGATTTTACTACACTAGGAAAAGTTGTGGACTCCCTTGAGGACAGAGAGGCTCTGCAGAGAGATGTGGGTAGATTAGAAATTTGGGCAACTACCAACCATTAGGAACTAGACAAGATCAGTTGCAGGATTCTTCACTTGGGATAGGGTAATCCTGGATATACATGTAGATTTGACAATGAGAGGCTTGGGGGGATCTGAGGGTTTGGGTTGATGGCAAGCTGAACATGGTCAGCAGTGCCCTGCCAGCCAGGAGGGCCACCCGTGTCCTGGGGGCATCAGGCCCAGCATGGCCAGCTGGGCAAGGGAGGGGATTGTCCTGCTGTGCTCTGCACTGGGGCAGCCTCACCTCCAGTGCTGGGGGCAGCTCTGGGTGCCACAATAAAAGACCATGGAACTATTAGAGTGTCCAGAAGAGTGTGACCAAGATGGGGGAAATTCTCAATGGCACAACTGAGGCCACTTGGTTTCCTTGGCTTGGAGAAGAAAAGGCTGAGGTGTCCTCAGGACAACCTACAACTTCCTCAAGGTGGGCAGTGAAGTGAGAGGTGTTAATCTCCTCTCTCTGGTGGTCAGTACAGGATAGGGGGAAATGGAATGAAGCTGCATCAGGAGAAGCTCAGACTGGACATAAGGAAAAGGTTCTTCATGGAGATGGTGGTCAGTGATTGAATCATGCTCCCCAGGGAAGAGGTCACAGCACCAAGATTGTCAGAATTCAAGGACTGTCTGGAGAACACTCTTAGTCATATGGTTTAATTTCAGGTAGTCCTGCAAGGAGAGGGGATTTGGATTCAGTGATTCTTATGAGTTCTTCCCAACTTGAGATATTGTATGATTCTCTGATTCTGTGGATAGAAGAAGAAATGTGAAAACTTAGCAGTCAGTAACATTGGAGAATGCTATCCAATGCTATCAACCTGACAGTGCTCTGGGTACCAGCTTCCTGAAAACAGGATTTTAACAACAGAAAACTATAATTAAAATGGAGTGAGCAGATGGGTTTTTGCAAACCTTCATTTTTAGGAGTGCTGACTTTTCCAGGATAGGGCACTGTTGTAGTAATACAACTGTAGTTATAATGCTCTTTCACTGAGCAAATCAGCTTCAGAATTGAGTGTGTGTGGTTTTTCTTGGTTTAAAAATAAGAGAAATTTTAAATTTAAATTGCTTTAAAGAATTTTTATGATCCTATAAGGCTCAGTCGATTAGTTCCTACCTCATGACGAATTTTTCGTAGATTAGTAGTTTTTTAAGGTCAGGACAG